TTTAATGCCAGGAGCTCACAAAGTAGAATTTTTGCTCACGAGACTCCAACACCTTAGAGGGACTATTGATTCCAACATGGTCGAAAGCGGTTGGATTGAATCGGGTCAGCTCCCCCAGCTGGGTAAATACTCTCCCGGTTGCTGGGATCAGGTTAAGAAAAATCTTCCCAGTCCACCTATCTGGGCAGGTTTTGGAAAGCGGTAGAAGAGCGGGCGCTGTCCCTTCCCACGCCGCTCCGTGAGTCACAGACGGACTGGCGGAGATCTGCATAGTTGGGTGGGCGAGGTCAAGTTCCGGGCTCATCGCTTTGGGGCTGACTTGCAAAGGTGGTTCAAACCTCTGGATCTTCTCCCCGCTGCAGTGAATTCGGGCAAGGAGAAGGAAGCCGCTTGCCTTCCGCCAAGTGAGACCGCTGGTCTGTCGGTCAGAATTGCCTGTTCTGACCGGCAGCAGTTCTTCAGGGTCTCGGGCCGAGGTCTGCCCTATCGCCTGCTGCCCGATCCTTTCATTTGCCAAAGCCCAGCTTATCTGTTGCATGGTTATTGCTGCTTTTAGTTAATCTGTCTAAATCAAGGTGGGTTAGCTTTGCATAGTTCCCGGCTACAGCACATTGAGGGATGGCGGAAGGAGACAGGTCAGCTTTGTGGAGCGACCAACGTAGTTTGAATATCCTGGGCTGAAGCCACCAGGGTTAGCAGAGGACATGGGCATAGCGTACTGTGAGAGCTGCAAGCTTGCATATTTCTCAATCCATCCCGGAGCTCTTCCCTCTATTTCACATAAACACAGGAAGCTGCCTTATACCGAGTCAGACCTTTGGTCTATCACAGTCAGTACTGTCTACCAGAGGTTCCCAAACTTATTTGGCCTGCTGCCCCCCTGGAAATCTACCTTCAAGAAGTGGACAAAAAGATGCACCTTCTGGATCTTCACCTGGATCGTTCCAGCCCACTTGGATCGTTCCAGCATCCCCCGGGGGGTGGTACTGCCCACTTTGGGAACCAGTGGTCTACACTGACTAAAAGCAGCTCTCCAGGGTCTCAGGCAGAGGTCTTCCACATCCCCTACTGCCTGGTCTTTTCAACTGGCGATGCTGGGGATTGAACCTGGGCCCTTCTGCATGCCAAGCAGATGCTCTAATACTGAGCTACAGCCCCACTTCATGGCTCTCCAGAGTCTCAGGCCAAGGTCTTCCACATCCCCTACTGCCTGGTCTTTTCAACTGGCGATGCTGGGGATTGAACCTGGGCCCTTCTGCATGCCAAGCAGATGCTCTAATACTGAGCTACAGCCCCACTTCATGGCTCTCCAGAGTCTCAGGCCAAGGTCTTCCACATCCCCTACTGCCTGGTCTTTTCAACTGGCGATGCTGGGGATTGAACCTGGGCCCTTCTGCATGCCAAGCAGATGCTCTAATACTGAGCTACAGCCCCACTTCATGGCTCTCCAGAGTCTCAGGCCAAGGTCTTCCACATCCCCTACTGCCTGGTCTTTTCAACTGGCGATGCTGGGGATTGAACCTGGGACCTTCCGCGTGCCAAGGGTCTCTTGACCCTTGACCAAACAGCATCCCCATCTGCTGCATCCAGACTTTGTCTGTCTTTTACCCTTGTCGAGAGTTCCTTTTTCTAATGAATTGTTGTTTTTTTAGGTGGAGGGTGGAGACTCTCAAGTGTCCCTTGCCCTAAATCTCTCTTTCACCATAGGAATTGTTTTATAAACCTTTCTATTTACAAAAAAAAAGAGAGAGGAAATCCCCAGGAATCCACCCATCCAGTCTCCTTTTATCTGCGATGGCTCCAGTTGGTGCAAAGATAGAAAGGGGAGACTTCGTGGCATTTATCGCATCCTTCATCGCTCTCTTCTGAAGAGGGCTGGGCCCGAACGCTCAGTTATTTCCTCTTTAGATTATTTTTCTTGGCTGGCAAAGGATTGTGCACTTGATATTGTCCTCTGTGTGTGTGTGTATATATATATATATATGCACACACACGCACACACCCATATATACACAGACATCTACAGGAAAGCATCAAACGATTGCATACGATAAGACAAAGAGCACAGCGCCGGATTCCCAACACTTGAGACTTTCTGTCTTTGCTACTGCACTTTTAAGGCATATTGTCATAAGGACATCAGAAGAGCCCTGCTGGATCAGACCAGCGGTCCATCTAGTCCAGCATCCTGTCTCACACAGGGGCCAACAACAGAACATAGAGGCTGAGGACTACATAAGAACATCAGAAGAGCCCTCCTGGATCAGACCAGTGAGGGTCCATCTAGTCCAGCGTCCTGTCTCACATGGTGGCCAACCAGTTCCTCTGAAGGGCCCACAACAGGGTACAGAGGCTGAGTCCTTCCCCTGATGTTGCCCTCTTGGCACTGGGAATTCATAGGTTGACTGCTTCTTAACATGGAGGTTCCTCTCAGTCACCATGCCTAGTTGCCACTGACAGACTGATCCTCCATGAATCTATCTAACCCCCTTTTAAAGCTGTCTCTTCCTGTGGCCATCACCGCACCCTCTGGCAGCGAATCCCACATTTTAGTCACTCTCTGTGTAAAGAAGTATTTCCTTTTGTCTGTCCAGAATCTACTGCCCATCAGTCAAAAGAAACATCTTTCCCCCCTAAATCACAAAAGTAGCAATTTGGCTCCGGTTTGTCCCTTGGAAAGTGTTGCGTGCAACACTGCGGCAAGCGTCACGAGGCCTGGAACCGGAGCAGGCGTGACGCTCGAGGCTCGGTTAAGAAAAAGCATCCGATTCCTTTTCCCGCCCGCCCTTCTGCTCCCAAGTCACTCTGGGGTCAACCACGGCTTCTTGTTCGGGGTGAACGGCTTCCCTTCCTCCGAGCTGTGCCAAGGTGCCCTGTGAAATGAACATTCCATAATTCTGTAATTCCCTTTGCGCGTGGAAGCAAAATGCATGGGGTGGGGGAAAGAATGCCACACCCAGAACTATAATATCTACATTTTTCAGTGTTGTGTTGGGTTAGACTCTGTGAGATCCTTCCGTGCAAGATCTGGGCTAGTACTGGATTTTTGGTTTCTTCAAGGCCTCCCCTAGCAAGCAGTTTGAGATTAACTTGGTTTCAACCACAGGATGAAACACTGCTGTTTCCCAGCTCTATTTACAACAGGCTTTCCCACAGTCTCATTTCCCTCATTTGTAAGTTCCTGTTTCTTCTGGGTTTTCCCCCTGTTCTGCTTGTGTTTTACGCCCTCTAGTGGCCTATTCGATATTACACTGGTGTGCGTCTGGCAGAAAAACCTGAAGTTTAAATCCGCACGGATATATGCCGGACGGAGACGTAATCCTGAATCAACCAGTAGAGGGAGCAAAACGCATGCGGAACAGAACCTGCACCCCCCTCCCCCCGGAAGAAACAGGAACTTACAAGCGAGGAAAATGGAGAATGTGGACAAGTCGAATGTCTGCAGGAGCTTGTCGTTTTGAAATGAGCAAATTTAAAGGGGTCTCTGGTGCAAAAACTGCTTATGCTGTGTCAGGAACAGGCTCTTGACTAACCAGAGCTCTTTGGGGGACGATTCCTCCCCCACCCCCGTGGCAAACACCTAAAAACATTCTGTGTGAATACATTCATCTCACTGGCGGAAACAGTCTTTATCAGTGAGCTTTAAAAAAGCTTTTAAAAAAAATCTGCATATTTAGTTGCTGGTGATGATGGGTTCCTGTGAGGCAGGGAATCAGAGCCACCCCCCACCCCCAAACAGATTTCAGCCTTGATTTCTTTTCCTGCTAGGCACCCATATTTCTACATACAGGTGGCGGCTCTAAACAACTACACGGGCTTATATACAAATGATGCATCTCAAAGGCACAAATCCTTTCCCCCCCCCCTTTCAGGAAAGGGAGACGCCTTTAACTAGCAGTGCACGGCAACACTGCTGGAGTTAAGTGTTCAAAAAGTACCGCCGTGACTGCTCTTAAGAGACCCTTTTGCCATTTCACCTCAAATATATACAAGAAGGAAGCCTTGAGTCTTTACTGTGAGTCTTCCCCCACCCACCCCCCTACCTGGAGGAGATCTTTCCGCCCTCTCTCCTCAAACGGTCCCCTCTGCGCTAGAACCTTTTGCCGTTGCCCATCTGGATCACCAAGAGAGTCCCGGCCATTCCAAAGGACAGGGCAAAGGACAGAAATGCGCGTGGCTGGTCCAGAAATACTATCGAGCGTGTTGAAGCATCGATCTGCGACTGCCGAATCCCAACACTCATTCTTGCAGACATAACTAGAATAACTTCCCTCTCATCGCTGTTGGCTCTTTTTTGGGGGGTTCTCGGTCCGGTATTCTGAATGACAGGGAGGGAAAGACACAATGCAACAAATCGAGGGGAAGGAGGGCTTCAGATTTGGAGCTGGGGAGGAGAGGAGGGTAATAACGATTAAACCCAGAATCCCCCACTGTCTCCGGGGTTTCAGGGATTCTCGACTCAACCAGAGGCCGAAGGGGACTCGAGATCCTGTTAAGTCACAGCAGCCCTGTTTGTTCCTCACTTCCGAGGGGTCATCACCAGGCACGCTCGGCCCGATCCTCGTGACCCAGCAGGGCTGGAACCTTGGTTCCGTTAGGGGAACCCTCCCACTAAAAAAACCCCCAGCCCAGGCTCCTCCGCCTCGTCGGGACCGCCGCAAGACGATCTCTGAACCGTTTGTGCCCAATACGCTTAGAATGGCTCTTACGGGGCCCTTCGCATCTCGAAAAGCGACGTTTTCGCCTACCGGTTTCCCGATTCGGTCTGCTTTGCCGAATGCTTAAATAGAGGCACTGTCTTGGGGACTGGGGACGTGGAGACCTATATATGCACGTATAATTTTGCGTAGAAAGCTGGTGGACCCTCCGCTCTCACGGAAACGGCGCTCCCCCCTCCCCCCGCTCTGTCGGCACTTGCGGCTACTATTTCAGTTTTCCTTTTTTTTTTGTTTTGCTGAGTGTGAAGTTCATTCTCTCTCTTCCTCTCTCCCTGTTTCTCGGGGTTTTTTTTGGAAATTATAAATGTGTGTCCTCCTCCTCCTCCTGATCTTCTTTCGTCAGGCTGTCCATCGGGACGATCCAGCTGTCCCCCAGCTCCCCGTTCAGGTTGACCTTCTTTTCCTGCATCTCTGAGGAGGTCTCCATCACCTCCAAGGTGGGGTTGTCGTGGTAGCCGTTCTCCATGGTCTGCAGCTCTTCCGTCAGACGTTGCTGTGAAACGGAGAGGGAAGAGGATGGAGGAGGAGGAGATTGGATTTATACCCCGCCCTTCACTACCCAAAGGTGTATCAGAGTGGCTTACAAACTCCCTTCCCCTCCCCACAACAGACACCCCATGAGGTAAAAGAATAATAAGAGGAGATTGGATTTATACCCCACCTTTCACTACCCAGAGGAGTCTCAGAGCAGCTTACAAACTCCTCTCCCTTCCCCTCCCCACAACAAACACCCTGTGAGGGAGGTGGGGCTGAGAGAGCTCTCTTGAGAACTGCTCTTGAGAGAAGAAGAGATTGGATTTATACCCCATCCTTCACTACCCGAAGAAGTCTCAGAGCGGCTCACAAACTCCTTTCCCTTCCCCTCCCCACAACAGACACCCTGTGAGGTAAAAGAAGAAGAAGAGATTGGATTTATACCCCACCCTTCACTACCCAGAGGAGTCTCAGAGCGGCCTACAAACTCCTTTCCCTTCCCCTCCCCACAACAGGCACCCTGTGAGGCAGGTGGGGCTGAGAGAGCTCTTGACAGAAACTGCTCTTTTTCAAGGACAGCTCTGACAGACCTATGACTTGCCCAAGGTCATCCAGCAGGTGCCAGTGGAGGAGTGGGGAATCAAACCTGGTTCTCCCAGATTAGAATCCGCACACTTCACCACTACACCAAAATTTATGGGAGGCTGTGGACTGAAAGAGGAGGTGAGATTCCGCCCAGTCCACTTGTAAGGTTTAGGATGGATCCTAGAATCATAGAGTTGGTAGGGACCGCCAGGGTCATCTAGTCCAACCCCCTGCACAAGGCAGGAAATTCACAAACACCTCCCCCCCCCATACACACTCCCAGTGACCACTGTTCCATGCCCAGAAGATGACAAAACCACCCCTCCAGGATTTCCAGCCTAACTGGCTTGGGGAACAATTTTGCTTCCTGACTCCAGAGGGGCAATCGGCATTTCCCTGGGCGCGTAAGAAAGGGCCACGAGAACTAAGCCCTGAGGCAGCCCTTCCTGCGTCCCCTTCTCGTGATCTGCCTCAGTTCACAGGATCCGCATTGCTGTCTGACGGCCATCTGGCCTCTGTCTGAAAACCTCCAAAGAAGGAGAGTAGAACAATCCTCACCCGTTTGAAGCAAAAGGTCTCCTCATGAGCAAACAGCCCTGTGTGAAGGGAACGCTCTTTGCACTGGAGGAAGTGGATCAGATCCCTGGGATCTAACCTGTCATTTACAAGCCAGCAGCTGACAGATTCCAGGTGGCTACGGCGGAGTGGAATATCTCGGTGCAGTCGGCGGATCTTATTGAAAGCATTTTTTAAATTGTGCTGAAGTGCTGTGGACATTTCTCCCCATTTAATTAATTTAACAATCCACCATCTATATATACTGTGATCTGTAAAAGCAGCTCTCCAGAGTCTCAGGCGGAGGTCTTTCACATCACCTCCTGCCTGGTCCTTTTAACCGGAGATGCTGGGGATTGAACCTGGGACCTTCTGCATGCCAAGCAGATGCTCTGCCACTGAGCTACAGCCCCACTTCATGGCTCTCCAGGGTCTCAGGCTGAGGTCTTTCCCATCACCAGCTGCCTGGTCCTTTCAACTGGAGATGCCAGGGATTGAACCTGGGCCCTTCTGCATGCCAGGCAGATGCTCTGCCACTAAGCTACCACCCTACTTCATGGCTCTCCAGGGTCTCAGGCGGAGGTCTTTCCCATCACCAGCTGCCTGGTCCTTTCAACTGGAGATGCCAGGGATTGAACCTGGGCCCTTCTGCATGCCAGGCAGATGCTCTGCCACTAAGCTACCACCCTACTTCATGGCTCTCCAGGGTCTCAGGCTGAGGATTTCACATCAACTACCGCCTGGTCCTTTTTAACTGGAGATGCTGGGGATTGAACCTGGGAGCTTCTGCACTCCAAGCAGATGCTCTACCACTGAGCCACAGCTCCTTTTCTGAACAGAATTCCGAGATGAAGAAGCCCTATAAGGAGTCAGATCCATCAAGGTCAGTATTGTCTACTCAAGCTGGCAGGGTCTCTGCGGGGTCTCAGGCAGAGGTCTTTCACGTTACCTCCTGCCTGGCACCTCCTATCAACGGGAGGTGCTGGGGATTGAACCTGGGACCTTCTGCGTGCCAAGAGGAGCTACAGCCTCACTTCATTGCTCTCCAGGGTCTCCAGTGGAGGTCTTCCACATCACCTCCTGCCTGGTCCTTCTAACTGGAGATGCTGGGGACTGAACCTGGGACCTTCTGCACGCCAAGCAGAGGCTCTGCCACTGAGCCACAGCCCCTCTCCTCTATTCAGCCCCAAAGGAAATTGTGAGCTCGTTGGATTTTTTTCCGCCATGTAATGTTGCTCCAGTCCGGCAGAGACGTGGTCAAGATTAAAATGCCTCTGCTCCAGTGGGAAACTCCACTTGTGCACCGGAATGCGTACAGAGCTCTAAGGGTGCTCACTTTAAAGAGGGAAAAGCAGCTCCATGCATGCAGAAGGTGAGCTTCTAGGTAACCCTCCTCTTGGCCCAAAGCCCTTCATGTGCACAAACTCCCTCTAGATGTATCAGCTAAGACCGCACTGGATAGCAGCTTTTTCTAACTGCTTGGAAATAAGCTGTTCCCATTGATTAACAGAGAACTGTGTGGTGCTTCTGCCCTCTGCTGGTCAATTCAAGTAAAGCAACTGCTGCCTCAGAACTGCAGGGGAGGAGGAACTTGAGGTTCCGTGAAGTTCTGGCTTAAGAACGTAAGAGAAGCCCTGTTGGATCAGGCCAATAGCGCACCCAATCCAACACCCTGTGTCACACAGTGGCGAAAGCCCAGGTGCCACCAGGAGGTCCACCAGCAGGGCCAGGACTCCAGAAGCCCTCCCACTGTTGTCCCCCCAAGCACCAAGAAGACGTAATTAAGAACATAAGAGAAGCCAATGTTGGATCAGGCCAGTGGCCCATCCAGTCCAACACTCTGTGTCACACAGGGGCCAAAACCACCAGGGGCCATCAGTGGGGCCAGGACACTAGAAGCCCTCCCACTGTCAAAACGCGGAACCCCCTCCCCATTTTCGCCCCCCCCCCACAAGCACCAAGAAGACAGAGCATCCCTGCCCCAGACATAACAACACAAGAGAAGCCAGTGTTGGAGCAGGCCAGTGGCCCATCCAGTCCAACACTCTGTGTCACACAGGGGCCAAAACCCAGGTGCCACCAGGAGGTCTACCAGCGGTGCCAGATTTGTCTTTGGCTGAATTGGGCGGAGGCAGGAAGGCGCGGAAACAGGGAACGGACCCTTTCCTGCCTCTTCCGAAGATGTACCACATCCTCATCTGCCTTGACCTCTTTCCTGGCCTGGACACAATGGATCGCTCCCTTCAGCTTTGCTTCCGTACCGCTCCCAGCACGGTGGCGCTCTCTGTTGTCCAAAGAGGAACAATGAATCATTGTATTGTCCAGGGGTCATTTCCTGCAGGAGCGCACAGGAGCGGAGCTTCGGCAGTAAAGAGCCCAGGGGGTGGGCACATGCAACAAGCCACACCCCCTGCTCCCAGCAGCCCTCAGTCAGAGCAAGAAGCAACCAGGTAAGCTGCAGAGCTCCCCCCGGCCCCAAACAGTCCAGTAGCACCTTTAAGGCCAAGGTTTATTCAGGTACAAGCTCTCCCTCCTCTGCAAGGACAGATCTGCATGTTCCCCCCCCCCAATAGGTAGCCATCCAAAACAGTCCAGTGGAGCCTGAGCGGTGGGTGTTGCCTTCTGACACACTTCCGGCCATGTCAGGGGGTGTGCCATATGCAAATAAGTTATGCTAATGAGCTCCTGCACCTCTTTTTCTAGTGTTGTCACTGCGCTTTCTCTAATTTCTGGTCCCTCTGTTTGACTTTCTCTAACTTCTAGCTTCAGCTCCTCTCTGGGAGACCCTCTTTGCAAAGCGCAAAAATATCCCAAAGGGCCTTTGGACATCGAGAAAATGCTTTGGTTGTGAGTCAAAGTTCTGGGCCTGTTCTCAAAAGCCAATACATGCTCTCTTGACCCTAGGAAGCTGAGTTGGAAGATATGAATGCTCTTTACCAAATGCTATGAATCAGGGGTCCCCAACCTTTTTTGAGCCTGTGGCCCCCTTTGGATTTCTGACATGGGGCGGGGCGCGAAGCCACAAAACAACTACTGCGGGAGGTGGAGCCAGCCACAAAATGGCTGCTGCGGGAGGCGGAGCCAGCCACAAAAATGGCCGCTGCGGGAGGCGGAGCCAGCCACAAAATGGCTGCTGCGGGAGGAGGAGCCAGCCACAAAATGGCTGCCGCAGGAGGCGAAGCGAGCCACAAGGAGCCAGCTTACGATCAGTGGCCATTTGAGAGCCAGTTTGGTGTCGTGGGTAAGTCTGTGGACTCCAATCTGGGAGAACCGGAAGTCCTCACACCTGTAATAAAGTCCTCAGAGTGGAACAGATCCCATGCTGGATCTTAACCGAGCCCTAGAAGACGTACGGGCACACACTTCAACAAACACACCTAGCGCAGCCTCTTTTACCTGGTCCTTCCTCTGAGAGATGCGTTGGTGGCAGCAGCCGTAGATGGCGGCCACGAGGAGAAGCGAGGCCGCCATGCAGACAATGGTGATGATCAAGGGCATACTGAAGCGGTCCTCGCTGTCCATGTCCGCGTACTGGCCGGCGTAACTGACATTCACTCCGAGCTGCGGAAGGGAAGAGGAAGAAGAGATTGAATTTATACCCCATGGCCCTTCACTACCCAAAGGAGTCTCAGAGTGGTTTACAAACTCCTTTCCCTTCCCCTCCCCACCACAGACTCCCTGTGAGATAAAAGAAGAAGAAGAAGAGATGGGATTTATCCCCCGCCCTTCACTACCCAAGGGAGTCTCAGAGTGGCTTACAAACTCCTTTCCCTTCCCCTTCCCACAACAGAAAAGAAGGAGATTGGATTTTTACCCCAACCCTTCACTACCTAAAGGAGTCTCAGAGCGGCTTACAAACTCCTTTCCCTTCCCCTCCCCACAACAGACACCCTGTGAGGTAAAAGTAGAAAAAGAAGGAGATTGGATTTTTACCCCAACCCTTCACTACCTAAAGGAGTCTCAGAGCGGCTTACAAACTCCTTTCCCTTCCCCTCCCCACAACAGACACCCTGTGAGGTAAAAGTAGAAAAAGAAGGAGATTGGATTTTTACCCCAACCCTTCACTACCTAAAGGAGTCTCAGAGCGGCTTACAAACTCCTTTCCCTTCCCCTCCCCACAACAGACACCCTGTGAGGTAAAAGTAGAAAAAGAAGGAGATTGGATTTATACCCCGACCCTTCACTACCCAAAGGAGTCTCACAGCGGCTTACAAACTCCTTTCCCTTCCCCTCCCCACAACAGACACCCTGTGAGGCAGGTGAGGCTGAGAGAGCTCTGACAGAAACGGCTCTTTTTCAAGAACAGCTGTTATCAGAACTATGGCTTGCCCAAGGTCATCCAGCCAGGTGCAAATGGAGGAGTGGGGAATCAAACCCGGTTCTCTGAGATTAGAGCCCACGCACTTAACCCACTACACCAAACTGGCTTTCGGAGCCAGGGGGTGAAATGGCTGGGGGCAAAAGCATCCCCGCTGGAAAGCGAGGGGGAACAGAAGCCACGCTGTACAAGTGACTGTTCAGCAACCCACACTGTGAGCTCAATCCCTCTGTGTCGTTTCTGGGGCTACCCGCGCAACCAATGCTCCCTCTAAGCTATGGAGTCCTGTAAGCAAAAGTTCTACTTGGTGAGCTCCTGGCATTAAAGTGGCGAGCGAGCAATTTGGCTGCTGCACGAATTAGTTTGCTCTGGAGCCCTCCTTCCTGAGCCGAGACAAAAATGTGTGAGCTGGGGGCTAAAAACCTGTGAGCTAGCTCACACTAACTCAGCTTGGGGGGAACACTGCGAGCAAGCACGGTAATCCCGGTGCTGCACGAGAACCGTCATTGATCTAGGCAAGCTGTAAGGTAAAGGTCAAGGTTCCCCTTGCTCGAAAAGACAGTCGCATCCGACTCCAGGGGGCGGTGCTCATCTCCGTTTCCAAGCCGAAGAGCCAGCGCTGTCCGAAGACTTTTCCGCGGTCATGTGGCCGGCGTGACTGAACGTTGAGGCGCACGGGACACAAGCTGTGTAGGTTATTTATTTATTTATTAAATCCCCAGGCCGCCCTCCCCCGCGAGCAGGGCTCAGGGCAACGTACAACAGAGATGCACAACGAAGACTTTTCCGCGGTCATGTGGCCGGCGTGACTGAACGTTGAGGCGCACGGGACACAAGCTGTGTAGGTTATTTATTTATTTATTAAATCCCCAGGCCGCCCTCCCCCGCGAGCAGGGCTCAGGGCAACGTACAACAGAGATGCACAATAAAAAATAGAAGTGAAAAAAATTTAAACCCCACAAAGAAAGCAACGGTCCTTAGTCAAATTGATCAGTTCCCAGATGGCTAGCAGCCAGAATTTCTGGTTTAGTAGCTCGCAGACCTCCCAGAAGAGACTTGTAAAAGATGGGGGGAGGGGACGACACGTAAAGGGCAAGAAGAGCAGAAGAAGAAGAAGAAGAGAAGAGATTCGAGTTATACCCCGCCCTTCACTACCCAAAGGAGTCTCAGGAGGTTGTCAGATCCCATAACTATGCCTCAGTCGCTGTCCTCAAAGGAAAGCCTGGTGGAACACCTCTGCCTTACGAGCCCTGCGGAAAGAGAACACGACCTGCAGGGCTCGGATGTTCTCAGGCGGAAAGTTCCACCGGGCAGGGGTCAGGGCGGAAAATGCCCTTGTCCTGGTTGAGGACAGACAGATCCCTCTCGGGCCGGTGACCACCAGGAAGGTCTTACTTCCTGAGCTTAATGCTCTTCTCAGGGCATACGGAGAGAGGTAGTCCTGAAGGTACGAGGGTCCCTGGCCGCTAAGGGCCTTAAAGGTCAAAAACAGCACCTCGAACTTGATCCGGTGCTCCAATTCAGCCGCTGTGCTCCGATTCAGCCAATCCGGTGCTCTAATTCAGCCACTGTACATACGTGGTCCGGTTTGGCATAATTTGTTCCACTTCTGCTGCTCGTAAACCGTTATCTGGGGCCCTGAAACCCTCTGGCCCCTGGAAAGACTGCTAAGTGCCTCCCGACCACCTCCAAGTCTTGCTTGCAGCGCAATACTGGCTGAATCACAGGCACTCTCTGGGTGCGGTCAGACGCGCCATTTGATCAGGTTCCCCTTGCTCGAAAAGACAGTCGCATCCGACTCCAGGGGGCGATGCTCATCTCCGTCTCCAAGCCGAAGAGCCAGCACTGTCCAAAGACTTTTCCGTGGTCATGTGGCCGGCGTGACGAAACGCCGAGGCACACGGAACGCAAGCGGTGTAGGTTATTTATTTATTAAATCCCCAGGCCGCCCTCCCCTGCGAGCAGGGCTCAGGGCAACTTACAACAGAGATGCACAATAAATAATAGAAGTGAAAAAAAATTAAACCCCACAAAGAAAGCAACGGTCTTTAGTCAAATTTATCGGTTCCCAGATGGCTAGCAGTCAGAATTTCTGGTTTAGCAGATTGCAGACCTCCCAGAAGAGACTTGTAAAAGATGGGGGGGGGGGACGACATGTAAAGGGGAAGAAGAGCAGAAGAAGAAGAGAAGAGATTGGATTTATACCCCGCCCTTCACTACCCAAAGGTGTCTCAGGAGGTTGCCAGATCCCATAACTGTGCCTCAATCGCATACCCAAACTGAGAGAGAGAAAAAACCCCAACACCGACGCGTGTGGACGGCGGGGAGCAATGTGGCTTCGCAGCGATCCGGAGCAAGGAGGTGAGTGTGATCACGATTCTCCAGGTTAAAAAAAAAACACACGCATGGAGCCGGAGCAGTTTAACCCACTCCCAGCACGCCGCACCCTCCGAGTATCATTCAGCCACATTCCCCACGAGAGCCTCGTTCTTGTCCTTTATGGCCTCAGGGAGGGGATACTCAGTCCCTTGGTTCGACTCCTCGGCCTTCCAGTGACTGGGAGGGGCCCCAGCCCAGGTTAAGCTCCTTCGGGCCTTCTGAGGTATTTTGGGAACTGCCTGAACGAGGGTCCTCAATCTCCCCTCACTTTCCCCCAGCACTTTACAGCTGAAGTCAACAAGGCCCGCGTGTCCACTCTGTTTACCTCTCAGTACCCTTCCTAAAATTGTCACTGGGGCAGGAGAAAGGCTGGCCGATACTGTGACTCGCACTCCTTGGTGGGCCACGCTCGGCAGGATCTCCTTTGTGTCGGCCCCACAGACCCCCGAAAGAACTTCCTCGCCTCCACCTGGTAACGTCTGGGGAACAGCCTGCAGCTTCGGTTGCCAAGCAACCCCCTGGTCAAATCCTTCAGCTCTGACTGTTACTTTATGAAGCCCTTCCTATAGTTCGGTGCAGTCCTCGTGGGAACGGTGAAAAGGGTGACAAAACGGGATGGGGGGGGAATGCTTCCTTTCCGAAAGCGTGAAAGGCGAGGGCACCCCTCCCCTTTGCTTGTCGGTGGGCTGGGGTTAACCTTCCAATATGGCTGACATTTTGCCCACTCAAGGCCGGAGCACGGCTCATGGTCACTGGGGGGATGCGGCGGTCATGGCTTCCACCAGGAACACACTTCAGGGATATGGGGCTTTGGAAAAGGTACTGATCCGTGGGGTACCTCTGAACGCTGTGGGTGAGGCGGGTGGTGATGTGCCATGAGGAGTCCGTGTTGGGACAACCTTTCTTCATGGCTTGTGGAGGAAGATGTGGACTTGAGGTGATTACAGCGCCAGTGTGAGGAAAAGAAGGGACGCACGGATACCCACACAGAGTAGACGATTAGAGGTCCCCAAACTTTTTGGAACTGCGGGCATGCACGGGATTCTGCCACACCGCAGTGGGCACAGCCCAAAAACGGCTGCCACAAAATGGCCGCCGCGGGAGGCAGAGCCAGCCACAAAATGGCTGCCCCAGCTGACCTTTGATCACCCAATGGAGATCCTTGTGCTGTGGGGGTGGCTGCTGCTAAGGCAACATGTCTAAAAAACCTGCACAGCCAATCAAATCTCCAGTGGCCTTGCTGGGCGAAAGCCCCACCTGGCCCCACTCATGCTCTAAAAACACCTGGCAGGTCTCTGGAAAGGTTTTGGCGGTCACCACGGACACTGCGTTGGAGACCCCCCGGTTTAGATATTTCCAAGAGCCGAAATCACATGAGCATTATCTTCCTCTTACCTTCTTTAATTCTCCTTCCTTGATTTTCAGAGATTCAAACAGCTCATCAGCCACCGAATTTACTAGTGGAAAGAAGGAAAGGGGGGGGGAGAGAAGGTCACTATGCCCACAGGAGCCCACGTGAAGAACTGACTCACGTTTCCTCATACTGTTGACTAAATCTGGGTCACACTTGAGCCGCAGGCTGGGGTCCTCCCTTGCTCGATTTCCCTAACCCATTCCAACATTTTGGCAGAAAAGGCAGCCCCCGCCCCCTATTTAAATGTCATCTTACCAAAAAAGCTATCTGTGGCTACTAGTCATGGTGACCATAAGGGAGCCTTCACATCCAGAGGCAGCCGACCTCTGGATCCAAGGCTTCAGCCTTCATGCCCCGTCGCTGGCCCTCCAGAGGAACTGTTTGGCCGCTGGCACCTTGAAGGCTAACAGGATCGACGGGGAATCCAACAGGGAGAATGCAAGAGAAGCCATGTTGGATCAGCCAATGACCCATCCAGTCCAACACTCTGTGTCACACAGTGGCAAAACCCAGGTGCCATCAGGAGGTCCACCAGCGGGGCCAGGACTTCAGAAGCCCCCCCACTGTTGCCCCCCAACCACCAAGAATACAGAGCATTACTGCCCCAAATATAAGAACGTAAGAGAAGCCATGTTGGATCAAGCCAATGGCCCATCCAGTCCAACCCTCTGTGTCACACAGTGGCCAGAACCCAGGTGCCCTCAGGAGGTCCACCAGCGGGGCCAGAACTCCAAAAGCCCTCTCACTGTTGCCCCCCAAGCACCAAGAAGACAGAGCATTACTGCCCCAGA